ATATATTGTAGTGTCTCCAACCAGGCACAGTGAGGATCACGCGGTCCTCATCCTGGAAGGCGAGTAGCACCGACAGCACCCAAGCGTTTCGTGATCTCCTTCATACTCCTCTGCCAAGCTAAGGATTGGAACCCATTGACCCCAAGCAACATAATCCCTTTCACATTCTCATACTCTCATCTGAAGAGTCCACGTGTCCAGCGGATTTTAAGCGCCTGGGAAGTCCTCGACACAAACGAGGACGTTTGCAAGGTCGTTGTTTTAAGCGCCAGGACAGCCAATCACATCGCTAAGTGTGAACACGTTCGCCTGTTCAGACGTGTAAATTCAGGTGCGTCCAGCGTGCGCTAGTGGAGAGATGGTAGCACGCTGGCCTTGCCTGTCAGATGTCTGGAGTTCAAGCCCCCCCCTCCCCACAAGACATTGTTGATGAGCCCTTATGAGGGCGAAACTCGATTCCACTGTTTTCCCCTTCGGTGTGGACTCACTGAATAATTGCACCAGGATAGGGGGAGGCCTGTTCAAACGAAAGTGATATGAGTGCGAATTCTTCAGATTCCACAACTACCTACAACTAGCATTATCCCTTCTAGAGCGCCTTCCTCGCTGTCGGCGTTTCAGTGGATTCTCAGGTCTATTCACCTGTCGTTTATCGATTTATTCGGTTATAGGGTTTCATGCGTTTTCTTTCTTTGGTTTTTTATTTGACTCTGCTAGAGGGCAAACGGTGCTTTGACACACATCAGTGTACTGTATCAACCTGTGTGATTTTTGGGATGTTTTAAAAAATGCTTTCACTATTGTTCTTCTCTACAAAACGCAGTCTTTCATTCACCCATGTTCTTCTTGCAAAACACTTCAGATATTATCATGGTTTCATTGACCGAACTGAAGCTGAAAGGCGACTGAAAGCATGCAACATTCCGAACAGCTATCTACTACGACTTAGTCTCAGCCGACCCGACAATGATCAGTGCGACACAATCTATGTGCTGTCGTACCTGTCCTCAGCGCTAGATTGTCACCACTTCAAGTAAGTGCCGCTCACCCGTCGGCTCACCCTTGTCTCCTGCTTTGTTTAGATTGATTCCTCGACTGAACTGTTTCCAGTTGGGTGGCCGGCTTTTTGACTGTTTACAAGGATGTCTATCGCGCTACTACGTACACTACATCATTCCGGGAGAACGACTCCGACATCCGGTTGCTCCATGTAGTGTAAGTCATCTGCGAGTCATTTGGTTTGTCGTTATTCG